CCGTTGTTTTACTGCTTAAAAGTTGGGGGGGGGGGGGCTATAATGCAAGGAGAGAAGTCATTGACATCTGTTGCAGCTCTATGCTGTTTGCATTAGTCGCTGTATGCTTTATAAACACATTGTGCCTCTTGTATGTTCTCTCAGTACGGTGCAACCAATGCATGCTGGCTACTGTAATCATTATTGGGCTAGATGACCGTGATATATCCCTCTGCATTGTAGCTGAACATCTGTGTGCCAACATGGCAATCATGCCGTCCCCACCTTCCTGAACAGAAATTATGCATTTTTAAGACACTTTGTTGACTTTTTGATGTTGGGCTGTCCTGTGAGAGAGCTTAGTACTAGCGCTGCACTTAAAAGAAAACTATGGGGTAAGTGTTTTTTCCCATAGTTCTCTTAAGGGTTATGGGAGGACATATACTAGCGTCCTCCCGTGACCCAAAGCTCAGTATATCGCGGGCTACAGCTCTCGGTATACTGAGACCCCCGCAGCCGGGACGGATCCCGACATTACTGTCTGGATACACCCATTGTTAATGGCAGCTGGCTCCCGCCCCTTCCCCCATCCATTCCTCCACTCGGCAATGGAGGATCGGAGAGGGGGGGAATCCCTGCAGGGAGCTGTGAGTGACCGTCACCGCTCTCTGCAGGAAGATGATCGAGAAGTGAGTGAGCGAGCGACGGTATGCGTTCGCTCACTTCCCGATCTATTCAGCCTATTACATTCCATATTTCCTATGCTAAAAAAACAATAAACATATTTTGAAAAGTTTAATTTTTACTACTGAACATAATATATCAGTAAAGAAAATATATAGAAAACACTATATACACCACCCAAGGAAATTCTGGGGATCCCGGGAAGAGGAGGATGTTGACTCATACCATTCCTTCATCTGTACAGGTTCCTCAGTGCGTTGGCCGTGCTGGCAGAAAGACCAGAGCTGGTGGAGAGGGTGATGATCACAAGGACAATCTGCCCAGAAGGAGCCTATCAGGTCCGACTATGCAAAGATGGGACATGGATCACAGTCCTAGTGGATGACATGCTGCCCTGCGATGAAGCTGGATATCTGCTCTTCTCCCAGGTAGGTGGAAAGTTGTACCGTATATACTCGAGTATAAGCCGAGATTTTCAGCCCATTTTTTGGGTGAAAAGTGCCCCCCTCGGCTTATACTCGAGTCAGCGCCAGCGCGTCTTCTTACATACCTCGCCGAGCGTCGCGTCACTGCTGCTCGGTGTGCGGCGCTCCGAGCGGGGTCATCTGGCAGTCTCCGGGTCCTAATTTAGGTGGCCGGAGACTGCCAGATGACCCCG